CCAATAGATGATATATGTGAAGGGTTGAGATGAAGTCTCCAAGGCAATATTTGTTGTCGTCGGTGTTCCCAATGCTTCCGTGCCCTCGCGGCCCTTTTGATCCTCTTCGGTTTTGCTCTCGCTCGCCGTAATGGCGTCCCTCGATGATTCCGGTGCGTTCCATTCCAAAATATCTATTTTTGCTCCCCGTTTTGTGTTTGAATTAGTTTTTTCGTATTCTCATTACTCAAGATCATCATCATCTTGCGTTAATTTGTATTGCCGATTCAAGGATCTCTCCTCCACATAGTTTGGAAAGTCTATAAATTTCTGTTCTTATTCTCGATTTGTAATATATTAGGTTTTAGGGTTTTTGGGTGTATGTACTAGGTCAATCTGCCATCCTATTACTGCTCTTCCTTCTTTTACGCCCCATTTTCTTCGGTTCAAGATCGACAACTTGGTGGATGTATCTTCAAGCCTAGTCTTAACGAGTTGATCTTGTTCATGACTACCAGAGAAACTATCAACTGATCGGCACATCAGGCACATCGATAAGTTAGGCATATTGGCATCTTTCTTGCCTTTGAGGCCAAGCTACCTTAAACTAGTACTGGTTGATCCCGTCAAATAAGTCTTTGTTACTACGAATTCGTTGGTTGCGTAGGTGGTGGGTTCTGTATGTGGTTCAGATTCTCACCTGGCGTAGTAGAATGATAAATGAGCATAAATTTACTGTAGCTACTATAATTGGGTATAATTTCCAACAATTTATTGGGGTTGTGACCATGAATTTTCCTACGATCTTGCCCCTTACGATGAGCAATTTGGTTTATCTTCTCTTGCCAGCTATTTCAGGAACATGTGGTTGATTTGATGGTTTATTGGATTATGAAGCACTTTACAGGGTGGTTTTGACAGACTCATGTTGTAATACATTAGTGTTATGATGTTCTTACAGTTTCCTTGTCATCCCAAAAATGTCCCTTAGCATTGCCAAAATTTTCATTCTTTTTAAAATATAAAGTAAGTTTTATTATTTTCACTTCATTCAGTTGCTGTAAGATGATAAGAGCTAGGTTATGCATATATACTAATGAAAATATTTTACACTGATGCACTATTTAGGAATGCTGGTGCTGCAGGATTTACTTTTAATCAAACTGGAATAGTTGTGTAAAATGCTCACACTTCCTTTTTTAAATGCTACTTTTGAACTGATGAAATTTGTCTTATATCAAGCTAGGGATAGCCAGATGGCAGTTCTGTTTTAAGTTTTATTTTCTAACCATCTGATCTTAACCTGTTAAATATTCCAGGGAACAAAGCTGATACTTCAGATGTTATTGAAGGTAATAAGGTTCCTGGTTTGCAGGAACAACACGAAGATAGTGGTAAGTGTATAAATCATTTTATTGGAAGTTGTTCCTCCTGTTTTGAGAAATAGTACTTTTTGATTTTATTACTCCAGATGACTTGTAGTCCCAAAAAATACTTCCTTAGAACCTGAGAAGTCTACTTATATTTCATATTACTGTTGCTTTTACCATTCCATTCCTATTCCTTAATCTACTATCACAAAAAAAGGGTGGTATAGTACATTTGGCTTCCATCAACCCATCGTACAGGAAAGTCAGCATATGCAGTTTTTACTTTACAAACAAAGAGGTCATTTTCATTGCTCGAACCATGTTTGCCCAGGTCGCAAAGTGACAATCTTACCGTTCCACCAAGGCTTACCATATGAGTTTTTGTAATGGAACCTTCCATAAGTACACTTTGTCTGGGTCCTGTGCATTTCTGAGAACTTGCAGTATACTGGACAACGTATTCATCGACCTCTCTTTAAATTTTAGTGTGTTCACTCTCTTGTGGTTCATTGTTCACTTCTGCTTTTTCTGCATTAATTGCTGGGGACTTGACAAATGCTGTTGTTGATTCAGAAAGGAAAGCTCGGGTTGAGGAAGTTTGGAAGCAAATGAACAGTGGATTGCCAGTTAAGGTGCCCAAACCTTTTGTGAACAAATCTAATTCAACTGAACTTACAACGACAAAGAAAACAATCCCTGTAAGGATGTTACGCTTAACATTTTGTTATCTACTTATCTTATGATTTGACCTTAAAGGTTTCACTTGCTTTATTGATATTTCATAGGATTGGATGTTCACTCTTGGCCTTGCACCAGTAAAAATGGCAGCTACTAAGGATCCACTGGGAAAGAGGCCAGCCATCATACAAAATGGAACAAGTGAGCAAGCCAAGAAACTTGCTACAGCCGCCATTTCAGCTGTTAAAGATGTTGCATCTGCTGCCACTGCTGAAAGGGGAAAAGTTGAAGTATGCTCAGATTTTGTTCATACAAAAATTAGTTCATTTTTCTCTAGTGTACTTTTTCTACCTTTATTTACATCATCCATTATCTGAAACAATGAAGCAAAAAATATGAAATTGTGCATGACTGCATAATGCATAAGTTGTCTGTGATAGATAGTTTGTATTGATTAGATTCATGTGCCTCATAAGTAAATATCGCATGTGTTCTTCTGTTCTTTGGGTCGGTCGTGTTGGAACTCTGAACCGTTGTGTGCACTTCCACATGTATGTTTCACAATGAAGAGTGTGCATGAGCTAGAAAGCTAGGTACCTTGCCAGAGAAGCCTTTCTGTTGTTAGGCAAGCTTGTCTTTTAATTAAAATTTTCCTTGACCGAGAATGCAGCTCCAGATTTATACTGTTGATGTGAACTTGTTTCCGGGAGCCCTCTCAATTTTGAGTTGGGCTGTAAGGGCTGACCTCATAGTGATGGAGCCTTCTTGATTTTGTTATCGTGGAGTATCCGGCCCATAAACTACTCCAGTTGGATACCTGCTTGTCTGACTTGTTATTGATGAAAATTTTAAATTAAATGATTGCCTTTTAGTGTTCCTTATCATTCAGCAATAAGAATATTGGTTTCCTGACATTTTAGAAGTGCAATAGTGTAGGTAATTGACTTATTTTAAGACAGACTGCTCGCCATGAAATTGCAATCAGTGAATCTGTAGAATTCAACAAAGTTAAAGCTTAGATTTAGAGAACAAACCTTAGATGATTTCGTATGTAGTCTCCTATCTTCTATGATCTTGACCCAACATTTAAAGAATCAAAGACTCTGCTCGTCTAATTACATCCATTACAAGATTCATAAAATAATCTTTCTTGTCCATTCCTGCAGATAACTGAGGTCCACGATTTTGCGGGTGAAGAAATTGAAGTTAAGAAACTTGTTGAGGCTGACTCGAAGGAGGCAGCCGAGAAGGCTAGAGTTGCAGGTGCTCCCTCCTCTGCCCTGGACACTATTCTAGAGCAGATAAAGAAAAAACCAAAGCTAAGTGTCCTCGACAAGACCAAAAAAGACTGGGGCGAGTTTAAGGAGGAGAACCAGGGCATGGAAGAGGAGCTGGATGCTTACAAGAAGAGCTCAAATCAGTATTTGGACAAAGTTTCCTTCTTGCAGCGGACAGATCATCGAGAATTTGAACGAGAGAGGGATGCTCGTCTAGCGATGCAGGCAAAGAGGAGGCCAGCTATGAAAGAGGATGACTTGTAGTCGTACATCCATTGTAGTTTGCAGCTATGGTTGTTCTTTACTAGTTGCAACAACTAAAAGAAATCACTGCATTGGTTCAACATAGAAGTAGCCGCATTTTGTTTTGTTCATGCCACCAGATGAAGGAAATAGCTTACAATGTATCCTGGCATTTTCTACCGAGCTGCAGATTTTGCTGTGTGTAAAAGAAACGCCTAAAGCTATTTTTCTGTATATTTATTGGTGAAAAGATGGCATTGCTTCCATCATCGATATCATGTGGTTTTCTTATCCTTGGACTGTGTTCTTGTTCTGAGTTACAGTTTCTTAAGCTGTATACATAATGGTGCATTTTGCAGTCATGAGTTCATTGCTTCCGAAACTTCCTACATGCATTTACCCAACGATCGCTTCATTGTCAAGCCATTCAATAATTCTGATACTATGTGTAATTTAATGAAGATCGAGAGTACTAAATCTTAACATCCAGAAAGCATTCTTGTACTTCAATGTGGTTTGGATTGTACATTGTCTCGATTGATCAATCTTCATTTTCAACTGGACTAATAATGTCAGGAGAAAAAAACAAAAAAACTGGTCCAATAATATAATCTTAAATAGATGAGAATTATTGGCCTTCCAAACTTGATCGGTAATCGATATCCAACACACGCACACAACTTAGATAATGATCAACTAATATCAAATAGAAAACACCCTCAAGAGGATTTGATTAAGAGTCACTTAAAGATGGAGCTGTGTTCTACAGCGAAGAAGATTCCTTCCCTCCCCAAACACATTGCTATCTTCCATGAGCGACTCGATTCATGAGATTGGTGGGATTTTAATGCGTGTGGGCCTCGTGGACGTGAGGACCACAGCGTACGGACCTGGCCACCGTGTAACCTCAACTAATACTTTTCTGTCCCTTTCGACGCGGGTCAACAATTGGCGGAAGCACGGGCCCGGGAGGTGGGGTCCACTTCGTGTCCTATGACCGGACAGGTAGATACGACGGGCGGTCGTCGACAGTCGGAAAAAGCTACTGTTTCCCCGGCCATTGAATCCCAGAGCGGAGACCTCGAATTCACGCTTCCATTGTATCGGAAAACTCCAATATAATTTTCTGTAATCTATTTAATCATTTCAAAGCATGAAAAATAAAAGGAGATTCAATATGTGAAGTAGAGGTCGAACGAGATGATGCATATCAATGGACTTGCCTATTAAAGATCGAACAACAGTGATGTCCAACTCGGTAGCAAAGCATCAAAACCAATTTAGAAGTGGATCGATTCATCGAGAGGACCGGTATTTTTGGACATATTGGATTAAAATAGGAGTACCGTAAAATTTGAGGTGTTTCTTGGAAATTGTCCGAATATTGTTTTTAAAAGTGTTTTTTTTTTATTTTTTACTTCCTAAATCGGTCACATAGGAAATTATTTTTACCCACCCCGAGTCAGAGCATGGCCGCCATGGATCTCGCACTCCCCCCCGAGCTTCCCGTCACCGCCCCCAACCCCTTCTCCTCAGTCTTACCATGAGACGACCCCGAGAGACTGCAGCCGATCTCGACGCGACCGCCGCTCCGGAGATCTCTCGAGCACACCCCGCTCTCCCGATCGAGTCCTCCTCCGGGTTCCATCCCCGTTGAGGCCTCCGTCGAATGCGCGAAGGCAGCTGCTGCCGTGGCGGGGATTGGCGGCGAGATCCCGGGGAGCGAACATGGGGATCGGGGAGTTCGAAGCGGAAGGGGATGGCGGGGAGGAGGACGAGATGTCGGTGAAGGAGCGGGAGGTCTCGGTGAACGGCCTCTCCATGAAGACCTCCGAGGTAGAGGCCAAGCTCGACGACGGCAACATCCAGGAGGCCGAGTCGTCCCTCCGGGAAGGACTCTCACTTAATTACGAGGTTCGAGATCTCTCTCGTCACGTCTCTTAGTTCTCTCTGTAGTTCGTTGTTCCGTGGGAAAGTCCCCGTTTTTCTTGTCTTGACTGCCTGTCGTGGTCTTTTCCAGGTTGAATTCTTGACGGTTTTCCTTTTCTTGTGTTTAAATCTTCCAATGACGTGTCTTGTTGTGGCGTTGAACAAACACTGCTTATGCTTGATTGGTTTTTGGAATTCGTTTTACAAACATGCCTTAGGCTACCTTAGTGTGTGATATTTTTTCTTAGTAGAACGAAAAGAAAACGAACAAACCCCCCCTTTTTTTTTCTGATGGTGGCAATCAGGTTTTTAAACCTGATGCGAAATGTGATATAAATGGGTGAGTATATCATTGTATTTCTTCGGATAAAGTCCTGATCCATCGCAATTTAAGCCATTGCAAATATAATCCAGTTTCTTAGAGAGGGAACTTTGTTGCAGGGAACTTAATTATTCAGTATGCATGTGAAAGACTGATGCTTAAAGATAGATTGGCAGTTGTCTTCAAGATTACAACTTTTATTTTAGGAAGCTCAGCAGTAAAGATAGTGAAATTGGTATGCCAGCTTCTATTGTGGTCAAGTTAGCGATTGCAGAAGTTGGCAGGAACCATTTTATACTCTTTTACTTCTCAAAACACAAAACATTGTTTGGACCACCTCAACTAGGATAAACATGAAGACACGAAACTGAACTGGAGTTGATTTAACCTCAAGTGTCACGACATTCAAAAGTGCCTGGATGTGAAAAATATAAAGTTATTTGTGAATTAGAATGTTGTGCTAGAATAAGTTTCTAATTAGGTGCAATATATTGATGGAATGCAGCTGAAATCCAGATCTGCAATGAGTAGCAGTTGGAAGTGTCCCATTTATCACTTGTTCATGTTAGTAATTCTATTGATGAGCTTCTCATCAGTGTTACAATGGGGCAAAAATATATCTAGGACATGATATTTTTTCTACAATGAGACAAAAAAATGTACGTAGGACATGACATTTTTTCGTAAGCAAAACTATTATAGGAATGCTATTTGTAGCTTGAAATTGGTAATAACCTGGGATAGATGGTGCAATAAAGCTGAGTTCTCAGTGTACCTTGAGGCCAAGGTTCAAGAAATAACCTGAAGTAACAAAACTTTATGGGAAGAGAAACTACTGAACTAAGTAATCCTAACTTAGCATTGTCTCTCTGGAGGATGTACATGAGGGAAGGATACCGGTGATGAGGATCATGGAGGATCTGTTTCACACTACTTGTTTCATCTCGGTATTGCTTAATTACAAGAAAACTAGTAGGACAAAACGAATCAGAAAGAAAAAAATGGGATACAGCTGGAAGAAAGATTGAACGAAGGGGCCAGCAACCTGTCCAAAACTTTTGCTTCTTAACTAATATTGCTTTAACAATGTGTTCTTCCCCATCCAATGAGATCTCTGATATTAATAGTCAACATATAAGACTTTTTCCAGAAAATTTCTATCTAGCTTCAAAACCTATGTCCAGATTTATCTAATTCCTGTGGAATTTTGTAGTGAAGGTTGACTTATGATTTCTGACCAGTTTTATTTGGATGCTTGTTTTTCTAATTTGTGTTTTGACTTTTGAAATTGAAAGCTCAAGGTTCAGTGGTTATGGGAGTTTTTAGGTATATTGTTATCTGAGAGCTTTGAAGTTCTACAGTATAGAGGTCAGTTCGATCATTAGTTAGCTTACACTGGATCCCCTCTTTTACATGTTATTTGTACTTACTTTTGTCTGTGCTGTCTCTCTTAATTCTGGAAGGACTTTTATCCTTAAGCTAGAACAGCAGAGAAACAAGTTTGTTGACTAGTTCAACTGGATGCCACTGTCTCTCAAAACCTATAATGTCAATCTTTGTTCATGGTTTTTAGGTTTTTGTAAGATATTCCAAGATATGGCAAGCTGCCAACTCTTCCAAAGAAATTCATGGTCGCATACTAATTGATAATACTGGAAAAAATAAGTTTAATCAAATGTTTGATTGTAGTTTTATGAAATTTGACACTACATGTGTAGACTGTTGATTCCAAAATCTATTACTGAATGATGTATATTGCTTTTAGTGATCAGATAATTTGATGTTGATCCTCTTTCTTTGCTGTTATTTTTGTTTCAAATGCTAAAGGAAGCAAGAGCGCTACTAGGAAGGCTTGAATATCAAAGAGGCAACATAGAAGCTGCGCTTCGTGTATTTGATGGAATAGATCTTCAAGCTGCCATTCAGCGTTTGCAACCTTCTCCTGAGAAGCCTCCTTCGAGGCGTAGCCGCTCACATAGTGTGTCCATACATTCGGTGTCCCAGCATGCTGCTAGCCTTGTTCTTGAAGCCATCTACTTAAAGTCCATGTCTCTACAGAAGCTAGGCAAAGCTACTGGTACGAGCTGTTACTCATCAGTCATAATCTATGCAATATGCAGAGGCCTTAACATATGAATCACAATCTGCTTTTTTCTGTGCAATGTTATGTCTTGTAATTCTCTGATGTTCTGTTGGTAGCCTACTTAAGAAATATATTTTTTTGGCTCCATGTAGAAGCTGCTCAAGAGTGTAGAAGTGTCCTTGATGCTGTGGAAAAGATATTCCAACATGGCATACCTGATGTTTTGGTTGAGCAAAAGTTGCAGGAAACTGTCAGTAAGGCTGTGGAGCTCCTTCCAGAGCTCTGGAAGCAAGCTGGTCATTATCAGGAGGCTCTGGCTTCTTACCGGCGTGCTCTTCTAAGTCAGTGGAATCTTGATGATGAATGCTGTGCAAGGATTCAGAAAAGATTTGCTGTATTTTTGTTATATGGCGGGGTAGAGGCTAGTCCACCCAGTTTGGCATCCCAAATTGATGGTTCGTTTGTTCCAAAAAACAATTTGGAAGAGGCTATTTTACTTCTAATTATATTATTAAGGAAGTGGTACCTTGGCAAAACCCAGTGGGATCCATCAGTAATCGAGCATCTTTCTTTTGCTCTCTCCATGTGTGGTCAAACATCTGTACTTGCTAGGCATTTTGAAGAGCTCATTCCTGGAACATATGCACGGTGTGATAGATGGTACAGTTTGGCCCTATGCTATAGCGCAGCAGATCAGAATCATTCCGCATTGAACTTATTAAAAAAGTTATTAAGAAAGGATGAAAGTCCTGATTATATCATGGCATTGTTATTGGCTGCTAAGATCTGTAGTGATGACTGCCTTTTTTCAGCTGAAGGAGTAGAATATGCTCGGAGAGCTATAGCAAATGCTCAAGTTGCATATGAGCATTTAAAGTGTGTGGGTCTTCGTTTTCTAGGTAATTGTCTGGGAAAACTGGCTAAAATTGCCTCCTCAGATCATGAAAGATCTAGCTTGCAAAGTGAAGCTCTGAGATCACTTGATGAGGTGGTATCTCTCGAGCGCCACAACCCAGAAATACTTTTTGATCTAGCTCTTGAATACGCTGAACAGCGCAACACAAATGCTGCACTCCGATATGCAAAAGAATTTATTGATGCAACAGGTGGATCAATATCCAAAGGATGGAAGTTGCTTGCTTTAGTTTTATCTGCTCAGCAGCGTTACTCAGATGCTGAAATTGTCATTGATGCAGCACTGGATGAGACTGTTAAATGGGAACAAGGGCCTCTACTTAGAATCAAGGCAAAACTAAAAGTGGCTCAGTCCCTACACATGGATGCAGTTGAAGCATATCGCCTTCTGCTTGCTCTTGTTCAGGCCCAAAGAAAGTCCTTTGGATCTTTCAAGAATATTATAGAGGTTTGCTTGAACTTTCCACTAACTTCTATTTTGATAATTTCCACACATATATGTATATACTTAGCTGTCCTTTGTTCTACTTACTATATCTGCTGATCCTGTGTGTTTGTGTTTGTTACCAAAACTTATATATCTCCACAATTAATATTGTCTGGCCGTTTTTGTGTTAGTTTATAATGATAGTATTTTCACAAATGCAAAGAAATCCACTATATGTTGATAAAATAATAGTACCACTTTCATTTTAAAGTTTATTTTATGTGCACAAAGACCAAATAAACTCTCTTGAGCATATGACTGGAAATGAGATATTAGCTGTGCTTGTATTCATGTTTTTCATTGACCAGATTATTAATTTGAAACAACTTCATTATGCATTATAAAGCGACTTGAAGCCAAATAATACATATTTAATAGGATATGTTATATGAATCCAAGTTCAAGAAAGTGAAGGAAGAATTACCTAATTTCTTGTTCTTGCTAAAAAATCACTATAAAAGTTTATATTAATGATCTTGGATGTACTTGTTACCGGGATGATTATATAAAGTTTATGTTGGTAAAAGTAGATAAGGTATATGATGATCTTTTATTCTTCTTCTGTGATCATTAGTTGGTTTCTAACACATTTCTAGTTGTTCTGAAGGGATTGATTTGCTTTTCAATTGGCTTGTAATAAGCCCTGACAACAATGGATATTTATGTCAAGGAAAATGAGATATACTGGGTATTGTGTATTCCTAATTGATCTTCTAGACATTATGTGAATCGATGGTAGTTGGAAAGATAAGTGAAATGAAGACCGGAGGCTAGCTTTTCTGACTTGCGAGTTGTCCTTACAATAGCAATCTTGAAAATTTTAGAAACTCTAAAAAATATAACCGCATGCTGATTAAGATTTGTTTGCCCTCTTTTTATAGTAACTTCTTAATCTGATGTTCTTTCAGGTTGAGGATGAAAATGTCAGTGAGTTTGAAGTTTGGCGAGGTCTTGCCAATCTGTACTCTGGCCTTTCACACTGGAGAGATGCTGAGATATGCTTGGAGAAATCTCGAACACTGAAACCTTACTCTGCTTCAACTCTGCATATCGAAGGTACTAAAGATCATATTTTTTGAAAAAAATGATCTCTCTTGAGTTTCTTGATTGGTTTCTCAGTTGCATCCATAGAAAATCTTGTGAAGGTGCTTGTTGCTGCTAATTCTTTGTCATATTAGTTCTTTAGTGTATTATTTAAAAGTGAATGGTCATCTTATTCCCATGAAGTGTGAGACTTTAAGTTAGATATGCCAGCTCCTTATACAGAAAAATTTAATTTATGCACCGTTCCTCTTAAAAAGAGATTTCGTTTTTAATCTGTGCATTCATCGTATGTTCCAACTGCAGCATTTAAAGGCCTTTATAGACCTCTAAGCAACTATTGTTTGCCACGTACCAAGAGAAGTCTTCATAATAAAAGAACTGTTGCTTACTGTATTTTTTTTATATTCATTTGTACTGTCTTTTGGTGTAATATTTGGAAAATCTGCATTCTTCAAAATCTCTGGGAAATTATGGTCTGTATAATTGTATGTCCTGAATTTTTTTAATTAGTAATTACATTAACCAGCTGCCACCACCTTTGGTTCAATTTCAAAGTGTTAAAGAAACATCTACCACAATTTGGAATTAGTAAAAATGCGATTGTCTTTGTTTATGTAATTCATCAGGTCGGATGCTGGAAGCCCATGGACAGATGCAACAAGCATTGGCTACTTATGCCAATGCCCTCTCGGTGGAGCTCGACCATGTGCCTAGTAAGGTATCGATTGGTGCTTTGCTGTCCAAAAGAGGCTCAAAATCTTTGCCAGTTGCTCGAAGCTTTCTTTCAGATGCCCTAAGACTCGAACCTATGAATCGGCTGGCATGGTATTACTTGGGAGTGATTCACAGGGATGAAGGTAGGATGGTTGATGCGGCAGACTGCTTCCAGGCAGCATCACTGTTAGACGAATCAGATCCTATAGAGAGTTTCAGTTCTCTTTTATAAGCGTTCAAGGATCCGTTCCCATTTTTTTCTGGTTTTACATTACCTGCGTATTGAATTGGATATCAGTTGTAGATTGTATTTATTAGAGCTTAGTCTGGTGGACATTTTCTTTTTCTTTTTGTTTGTTTCTTTTTTCCTTGTAGTTGAATGCCGTCTGTTGCTGCTTTGACAGTCTATTATATGAAATATGAGATGCTTTGAGAGGAATTTCTTGATTTGACATGGTTACAACTGGATCTGCAATCACTTACCTTGCTGCTATTGGTATGAGCGTTCTTCTTACTGCCAATATGCCGCTGGGGCTTGCAGCCAAACGCATCTTATGATCCTTAAAGCACAACATTCTGCTTGCAGTTGTACAGTGGTAGCGTGAGTTGTCTGGCTAGTGATCCTTCATTTTCTGTCACTGTTTAAGTTGTCAATGAACTCTATCAACCTTTAACTCTATCAACCTTTTTATTACATCAGTTTGCTCTTTGTCATCCATCATGCTCCCACAGGTTCTTTATGTTTTCTTTTTTGATCTACTAAGTTTATGGAGTGCGTTCAGCTTAAATTGACACTATTCTCTTGTGCTAATTTTGCTTCTGTTTTTTTGTGTGCAAAAGAAGTCTCCTTCCCTTGGAAGTCTTATTTCTATTCTAATTTTGTCACTGTACTTTTTGACCAATACCTCTTTATTATCTTTTATTGCACATTCTGTTTCTAAGAGATTACAGAACTCTAAACATATGGCAAGCCCAATTGCATCTAACCACTGCATTTGAATGAAATGGAAGATTATAATTGGCAAAACAGTATTACCTGAGATGGAGAAGATAGCAATTTTGGTTTGATTAGATGAAATGTTCCATGCTTGATATGTGCTTGAATATCCAATTTTTTCATTAAAAAATAATAAATTAAAATTAAAATAATATATTTGTGAACTGAATCTAACTTAGCTGACAGTTCAATGCATCAAATATTATAATTTCTCTATAAATTTATATAAATTATATGATGATTATTGAGACTAGACTCCCATTTCATTTGCATTATTTGCCACAAAGAGTGGCTATAGCCATATGCTACAACAAAAATCCTTGGACATTTAATTTTTATTCTATTGATTTTTTTTTATAGGAATAAATGTTTTGTATGTAACACATACTGAGGCTAATTGTATGCAATTCTCTCTCTCTCTCTCTCTCTCTCTATATATATATATATATATATATATATATCTCGCCATTTGGAGATAGGAGGACGTGGGCACACGGCTTCCACGGTGACCGCAGAAGTGAACGACTTGTACTCAGCTTGCGAACACATTTTTAGTTGCGGTGCAGCATCCACGCCGCCGTCGGATGGCGGGGTGATGATGATGGGTCCACCATTTCAGTTCATCCGACGGTTGAGGTAAACCACCCGTGTTCTACCTGCGTAACTTTTGAATTCTCACCGTGATTGGAACCTTCTATATGATCCGTCGCCACGTTTAACCGCAAGCCACTCTTATCGCGTCTTTCCCGCTCCACCTCCACTCTGTCCGCGTGACCGAGCGCGGCGGTCGAATGGCGTCAGTGGCGCTCTTCCTGACGGCGACGAAGGTCGCCGGAGCCCTGGTGCTGGCCACCGTCGCCGCCAACGCTCTGTCCTACTTCCGTTACCGAAGGAGGTACCTCCGCCCGTTCCGCTCCCCCATCGACGAGTCATCCGACGTGCTCGCCGACTTCAACGTCCTCCCATCCGGAGGTAACCACTCGCGCCTCCCCGCTTCCAAACCCTATATCGAATAGCTCACCCTTGTTCAGGAACTTCTTGTGTGCTCTTCGTTCACGAGTTAACGGCCTCATCGGCCTCCTTCCTTCCGGACGTAACTCCCCCGCTCCTTCCCGGTTTCAAACCCTACCTCGAATCGATTGCCTTAGTTCAAGAACTTCTATTACTGTGTTTGATGGGTTCGGCTGCTGGGTGGAACTTTGGCGTATTCCTTTCCTCTTTAGATGTGATTTCTGCTATTCGCACGTGTTTTAATCTGACTTGAGATTTTGACGAGGTGGGTTAGGATAAATAATTAATCTCTATAGTATCAGTAAATTCTAGTTAAAGATCTCAGCGATTGATGAATTGAACCGTACTAGAGTGAAATATCAGGGTTCTTCATTATTCGGTTATGTTTCTTCCTCGCCTTATCCTGTTTCTTTGGGTATTTTATTGTTCCCTTTTCATGAAATGAAGACTGATACTTGTTTTCATGAGTATGCAATTATGCGTTGTTGGCCTTTCGAATTTTGTTTTTCCTGCTGATTCATATTTTTTCTGTGGTGGAATTAGGCTAAAAAATTTACAGCCACTCATTCCTATGACTACGCTTTTGACCACCAGATGTGAATTATCGTTTTTGAATTCCCGGAAGAATGATGCTTAGTGGAGTCTTGATAGTGTCAATGTACTGCGAGAGGGATTATTGTGTGTATGTGAGAGAGAGAGATCAAGAGAAGACTGTAAGAATTTCTTTGGGTGAAAGGGAGAGAACTGGGAAGTGATTCCACTTTTTTGTTCCTTTAGAGAGAGAGAGAGAGAGAGACTGAATTAGGTGCGTCCTGTATTTTCTTACACATCTAGCTTAGTGGTTCCAGGTGATCTTATTTTTTGTTTTTGTTGTCTCCTACTTTGTGCAGCAGAAGTAGATGGGTTCTTCTTTGGGTTGGCTACAGCACCTGCTCATGTTGAGGACAGGCTCAGAGATGCTTGGCTTCAGTTTGCAGAGGAACAACCTTGTGCTGATGTGGGACTTGCTCAGAAGCATCCAGTGGATGCTTTGCTGGCTTCTGCTACTGGTGATGGTGGTTCTCAGCAAGGCTCCTTGGCCACGGATGAAAGTAAAAAGACAGGTATATTGGAGACTAAAAAGCCTCTCAAGATTGCTATGGAGGCTATGATCAGAGGATTTGTGAAATATTCAGATGATGAAGGCCTGAATTCCGACACAGAATGCCACCGCACTGTTGCTTCATGGCATAATGTGCCTCACCCGTATGTACTCCTGCTTTTCCAGAGCTATCTATATTTTAATTTAAGTGGATAAACCAACCATCTGCATCATTACAGATCAGGTAGTGTAAGATATTTACATCATATGCGTATTAGGAACATTGCAAACATGAGATTTGTTTCTGTTCTTACATCTATATTAGGCAATAACATGCCAATTCGAATGGCCAGTACTGTTTTGCTTTTGCTGAGCAGCAAGTATCATTCTGTTTAATTTGTTGGTTAAAGCATTTGTCTGAATTTTTTTTTTTGGTAAGTTCTGAAATTTGCTTTGCTTGCAGGAGATGCCTAACTAGAATAACTTCATTTTTCTAAAATATGCTTTCCTAGCAGTAGGTTATTAGGTAGGATAAATTTCCATGTTCAGCATTTACTCGGCTCAACTATGAGGAATTTTCTTCACAGCTCTTTCTGATCCATGCTTGGTTTATTAAGGCATTGTTGCCATCTATTTAACCTAAACCATCCAGTTCTGGAAACCTAGATGAGGCTCTCGTTGACTTCTTTTAGTTGATGTACTGTATAAATTGAAATCAGACACTTACTTGCTGGTTTTAGGCAAGAGAGGCTGAGATTCTGGTCTGATCCTGACACTGAGTTGAAGCTGGCCAAAGATACTGGTGTCAGCGTCTTCCGCATGGGGATAGATTGGTCAAGGATAATGCCAAGGGAGCCAATACAGGGACTCAAAGATGCGGTAAGTTGTGACCGAATTTGATTCCTTATTATGGTCACAGTAACTATAAATATAACAGGATGGTTAACAAACTTGTATACAGTGACTAGGGAATGTCTGAGTTGTTCATGCAGTACCTTTTGGTGATTTCAATCTTCATCATGACCATGCTCTTCTGTGGTTTTGACAATTATATGGGTCTGTCTCTGTGGGTTATGTGCTTTCTATGATAAAAATCAATTTCTTTGCGGTGCTTTTACGGTATTCTGCCATATGGTTGACATCTTTTAATAAGCAGATGTTTTCTCTAGGTTAACTTTGCAGCATTGGAACGCTATAGATGGATTATCAAAAGAGTTCACTTTTACGGAATGAAGGTGATGCTTACTCTATTTCATCACTCACTTCCTCCATGGGCTGGAGAATATGGAGGATGGAAATTGGAGAAAACTGTTGACTACTTCATGGATTTTACAAGGTTTCTGGATCTTGTCAACCTGAAGGTTTTCTGGACTTTGGAGGATCATATTTTATATGCATTTTATTGTTCAAGTGGATTCTACTCTATTGTTTTATACCATGCTTGCTTTCACTTATTACTAGTTAAAACCTGAATAGGCCAGTATAAACATCTTGAATTTCAATTCGACTATTAGTTTACCTTCCTGATGATAGAATGGGGCACGTCTCTTGCATCCTGTGAACTAGGTATGTCTTTCACAGAGTTGGTTGTTAAAATTAAATTTTACTTCTTCCATTCAAGGATTATATAACATGCACAGATGCTCACAACAGAACTCAAACTCCTGACCTTCTGATTGCATACTGCACCTTAACCATTAAAATGTTCCCTCATAGATGATATGTTATTAACCCTTTCGTGAAAAAAAAAAGTACCTTCCATGGATTGTGGATGTATTTAGAAAATTCATTGTTATTTTTTCCTATTAATATTTAATTTTTTGTACTAGTTAATGCTTAAATTTAAAAGAATCATCTCAGACTTTAGGTATTAAAAGACTATCTGGTGTGAGTATATCATCAGAAGCCAAGTCTAGCGCCTATTGAGCTTAGTTTGGATTCCAACTTCAGTCCGCCAGCTCATTTGATCTGGGTGAAGTTTTAGAACATGCTAATTATTGCTAGTTATGTACAGTGGACCTTCTTCAAGCCCTATGTCGTGCCAAATTACGGTTTAGCTCATTCAAAGTTGTTGGGGTTGGAAATTTTACCATTTTGAATAGTTTCTTGGTTGATCTGTAGTTAAGGATCAATATTTCCATGTTTATGATATATTCATATAGTTTCTTGTGGTTTATGCTTTCTCATTTTTCCCTTAGGGTTTATTGGTGGGCTTCACCCTTCAAGATTCGTAAAACGAATCAAAAGGGTTTATTTGTAATTTTGTATAACTATATGTTTTTTTAATGTTGACAAGTTGATAGTCTTTCGGAATGGAAAGATCTCTTTCTCTCTTTTCAAACTTGGCTGTTCGTTATCTTCTGGGGTTGTTTTGTACATCCCCTTGTTCTTTGCTCTTCATTGTCTGACATGCAATCAAGAGAGCTTAAATTGTTAGTGTACAGGATGATTCATGGTTATGTATGTAACTGTTGTGTGATTTTCTTCCTATTCTAGATGCTATATTGGCTCTAAGGGGACAAAATTTTGTGAAATTAGGGCTTATTGTTATAATATATGTTGTTGAAGCCAAGGATTGTCGCTATGGGACACAATGGTGTGCCATTTGGTTCTTGCATGGTAAGATTCATTTGTGATGTCATGTGTCATTTGCACAGGCTAGCATGGCAATGACAACCACAACACTACCTGACATATCTTTTTTTTTCTTTTGGTTTTTCCTCCCAATGTGTGTTTGCAGGTATTAGGCTTGTATGAGATTAGAAATTATGGATTTCATCAATATTTAATTTTTATTTGTTCCATCTGTTGTCCCTTTCCTGCTCCTTTGATTTTGGGGCATCTTTACTCAATCTACTGCATTCAATAAATTAAGATCATCCTATAAAAATCATGTGCTTAAAAAAGAATAACTTGCCCATATTTTGTTTGTTGCAGAACTTGTTGCATGAGATTTACTATGGTGACTATAGTGAAAAACAAAAGGAAATAAATAAAAAACAAATGTCTTAGTAAGTCTTAAATGTGCCAGTTGACACATTAATTTTGTTGGTCTGCACCGGATGCATAATAGATTCACTGGTACTCGATAACTTTATTTTTCAATAGTACCCCCAATTCCACGAACTGTCATATTCTTTAAAGCCATTAAGGTTGCAAACTGGTCACCCCAGCATTCTTTGGCTTAAGCTCCTCTAAAATCAACGTTCTTTGAATTTTATAACGCAACTCATTTTCTGTATGACGTGACACACTGTAACTGATATATATTATGTTTCAATCCTTTAGTTGTCATTTTCTTATTAGTTTCTTAATTAAGTTGAGTTGTTTCTGTATTTTAACTATTTTAATTGTATTCCTTGTTATTCATTTTTCATAGTCTCTCTTTCTTTGTGGGACTTGCTGTGTGTAAATGCAAGGTGCTGCCTCAAATTTTCAAAACATATCATAACCTTGGAGCACTTGGTTACCATAGGGGATACAAGTTTGAGCAAAAGGAACAAAGTCTTTTTTTTTATCTTTTTAATATTTGAGTGTTATAACAAGATTCTCACTTTAATTAGATAACTGACCTGTAGAACCAACAATACAAGTGCATTATATAGAGCAAATAAAATGTTATAGAGCAAAAAAAACCCTTTTATTACTCCGAAATGGGGGTTGATGCAACGAGGTGTTGTAGCAGATACCTTGAGAAGAGAAATTAGATGTTTTACTTGATACAGCATCCTTCTCGAACTGAACTTCGAATGTCTACCTAGAACATGAAATTGGCATAGATGATTTAACATTTTGGACTTTCCATTTGGAAATTTCTCCAAGGAGCACTATACAGTCAAGAAACTTGAAAGTTGCAGGTTGTAGAGCTATCAACGCGTTATATGCTATCCGGAGAATCTGTTTTTTCTTTTTCACTTGTTTGCTTGTTTGATTTTGCCACAAAATGCTCATACATGTGCTTTTGATGTTGAGTTAATTTTAAACAAATGTATCTTTTGATATGTGATATGGTTTCTTTGGATTTGAAGAAGTTTAATGATTAACCAGATCTTCACTTTGTTATCCACTGGCTGATTGTGGACATTCATTTGTTGATATTCTGAATGTGTGATTTTTTCTGGTCCGCAGGCTTGTTGTTGATCGAGTAGCAGATTTAGTGGACTACTGGGTAACATTTAATGAGCCACATGTATTTGTTTTGTTAACTTACTGCGCTGGTGCCTGGCCCGGGGGAAATCCAGATATGATTGAGGTAGCAACATCTGCTTTGCCGACTGGTGTTTTCAATCAAGCTATGCATTGGATGGCTGTTGCTCATACAAAGGCCTATGATTATATCCACGGAGAAAGGTTGCACAAAACTGAAGTTGCATTTGTCTAATGCTAATTGCTTTATTTGATTCTTACATTTAGATGAAATTTGTCTGACTTTGTCAGTCTTCTATTCTTACTAAAATAGCCATCATTCAAATACTGTTCTGTTACTGCACTGTTTAATATTTGCTTAAGTTTTATTTGACTTGCAACAGGAGTGTCATGAAACCTTCTGTTGGGATTGCACATCATGTCTCTTTTACTCGACCATATGGCCTATTTGATGTCGCTGCTGTCACACTGGCTAATTCACTGTTAATTTTTCCCTATGTGGATAGCATCTGCGATAAGCTGGATTTTATAGGGATAAACTATTATGGACAGGTTAGCACCATTATTATACTAATATTGCGGAAAGAAATGCATGAACAAAGTATAACTGGAAGCTTTTCCATTATTCAGGAAGTGATTTCAGCGCCTGGCTTAAAGCTCGTGGAAAATGATGAGTACAGTGAATCTGGACGTGCTGTTTATCCTGATGGTTTATATCGAACTCTTCTTCAGTTCCATGAGAGATACAAACGCTTGAGTTTGCCTTTCATCATTACTGAAAATGGAGTTTCAGATGAAACTGATTTGATTCGACGACCGTATTTGCTGGAGCATTTGTTGGCTGTATATGCAGCCATTCTTATGGTTTTGACCCCTGACATGTTCGTGTATTACTAGTATATATAACTGCTTCGTTACATGAATATGTCTCTCTTCTTTTGTAGGGTGTACGTGTGCTTGGTTATTTGTTCTGGACAATTTCAGATAATTGGGAATGGGCTGATGGATATGGTCCTAAATTTGGCCTTGTTGCAGTTGATCGTGCCAATGACCTTGCGCGTAATCCTCGCCCATCATATTATTTGTTTTCCAAGGTAATAAATGTCAAGGAGACTGGATTTTATTTGAACTTCTCTTGGTATTTTAGTCTCTTTGTTAATATACTGCATGTGCGATCCTTATTTAATCTTGCAATGATCTTCACTTAGATACCCAGCCAAACTGTGTGGACCAGTTCTAGATTTATGGTTTATGAACATCGATCCTTAAACTGATGCAAATGGATCTACCGAATTTAGGTAGTGAAAACTGGCCAAATTACAAAGTTGGATAGGATGCATGCTTGGAAGGAGCTCCAGCATGCTGCCAAAGAAAAGAAAACACGGCCGTTCTACCGAAAAGTTGACAAGCATGGACTTATGTATGCAGGTAAATATATTTGGTTTTTGATTAACTGACATTATATGATATATTCCATATTTGCACTTAATTGCCAATAACCAACATGAAGCAATGTTATCTGGCAATGAATGCTAACATTTTCCTTGATGGTAAGAATCTTACTTTTTAAGTTTGATTGGGATCCTACAATGGTGATCATATTTAATCACGATTGCTCCTATCTACATGGTTGCATTAGAGAATATCTATTGAATCAAAAGGCTGAACAATTTAATTCTTGGCTTTCAAGTTGACCACAATCTCTGCAAATGAATCTACTGAATTTATGGTCAAACCGATGCAAATGGATGTGCTGGATTTAGGTAGTGAAAAGTGGCTAAGTTACAAATAAATTGGCTTCCTAGATTTAAGGGAAAGGACAAGCAGAGATTTATGTGGTAATAATCTATTAGATGTATGAAAAATAAAAGATGTTTGTCATGGATGAATTGTTTTTGCAAGTTATTTAGTGATTGAAGTTGTTTGTCATGGATCTCCTATCTAACCTGGGTGGCCAAGATTCAAGTCACGAAATAACATGTTTACTTGCGAGGTGCAAGATCATATATATTGACTCTCTTCAAACCTGTTCTGGTTGGAAACCTGTGCATTGGATTATCCATTTTAGTATTTTAGACTACATGCATAACATCATAAACCTCTTCCTGAATCGGTCCATATATAGTCTACATGCTCTCTCTCTCTCTGGCCCTTTACTATAACTAGCTTGGGGCCCTTTTTTCAGATGTTCTACTTCCTTTTCTAGCAATTGTAAAATGTTGGCTTTGATATTCTTGAGTAGTTTACTGATATAGCTACAAATTCACAACTATCATCCACTATGCTTGTGTTATACTAACATCTTTGATTATACGTGTTGATTTTGATTATTCATTCCACTTGTACGTTCTCCTTTTACTCGGTATGACGTAAACAAATTACATTATTGTATAGGCGGTCTAGACGAACCTATTCAACGACCCTATGTACGGAGAGACTGGCGATTCGGGCACTACGAATTGGATGGTTTGCAGGACCCTCTGAGTCGCCTTTGGAACTTTGTCACCGTACCCTTTTCGCCCAAGAAGAAGGTTCAACTAGAAGATCCTCTTGTAGCTCCGCTGCCCGCTGGCCTCTGAAGCCCCCCCAAACCCACCACGAGGCAGCGAAAGGATATCGAGTCCCTTGTTATGATATGTATCAAATTGAAGGAGTCCAAGAAACTCACCGTGTTCCCTACTTAGAGCATATGCAAGCGCATCACATGGCAGCAGGTCTGGCGTTATGTTTGACGGGGTTATTATTGATGCCTTTCTGGTTTAACGGTATGCTGTCTTATGCTGGCAATCTTTTTTTTTTTTTTCCGACCTGTATTTGTGATGTGTGCGTGTAGGCCACTTAGATATAATCTTGGCTGACATTGTCGATGACTGACAACTCTGCATGCAAACAGAAACAAAAAATTATATCTTTAAGATTTTTTTTTTGCAATGTGTACGTTTTATTTTTCTTTGCATTGTCTGTAGTTGCTTTTGACCAGACAGTGCTTACGGTTTCTACATTTACCTGTAATAACCCAACCAAACAAGAACATGGGCACCGGTACCTCGAATCCTCGGAGAAGAAACATAAAACCTACAAGTATCTCGAAAGCAATCTCTAGCGTCAGATAGCGAAAGTTGAGATCGTTTCGTTCATGGCATGCACATGCACTCTGCATCTTGGAAGAGAAATAGATGCCATCAGATGGTGAAAGTGAGATCGTTTGGTTCCTGGAATGCGCATGCACTCTTTCTGAATGAATGCCCCAGCGATCCCCTTTGGGATAGGAGTATCAACTCTTTTGCGAGCTAGTCCCTGATGGCACACCAATACAGAAGCAAGTAAAAGCTTCACAAAGGCTCGTTTCTAGTCTTTTATTCTCCCCCTTCTCTTTCCCAAGTTTATTATACAACCTTTCCGGTACTCGTTTCGCCTCGCACAGAGAGAAAGTTTGCTCAAATCATAGTAGCGTTGAACCATATCGATCAACCTGCAAATACAAGCATTCCATTCAGAATATTTCAAAATTTTAAATTGGGAGAATATATCTGTCAATAGGAATAAAGTTCCTGCTGGTCAAGACCTACTCATTGTAAATGACCCATTATGGCTTATGATCCAGGGAGGTTGATGGATGGAGACGAACAACCTACTCATTGCAACATCAAACTATAGTTCATGAAAATTTCATGATGAACATTTGATAATTAGTTGGAAAAGCAGCATAATTATCTGATTGTCCTTCGCTGTCAGGTAGTTTCCACTTTTCTCAAAATTAGCTACCTGCATGAAGTGCCCTGCAACCATCGCCTTCCTGATGTTAATGTAATAATCACGGCTGTTGAAATCTGTACTTCATAGCTTGAGGTTGAATCTAGCCATAATACGCACAAGCTGTTGCCTCACATTGTCAGCAGCCTTTAGAGTCCTTTGGTCAATAAAATTCTCATAACACCATGACGGGTCCTCCCCTGTCATGCCCAAGTCAAATTCAAACAAAATAACTAAAATAAAAAGTGCGGAAAGTGAAAAATGAAGTGGTATATCATGTACTTACTGTTCTGCTTGTACGCGTGATATACATTTCACAGCATTAGGTGATCTCCATCAATGTGGCCAAACTGAGCCTTAGTTTCATCAACAGCTTTCTGAGCCTCCCTAGGCCGGAGAAAGCAATCGGGCATTAGAAATAGAATTTCTTATCATAGATGAAGCCCATGGAAGGTCAGCATATGTATGGAGTCGAGACGAAACTGCTTCATAAGAAACTTACCTGTGAAACTAAAACTATCTACAATAGCCCTAAAGACTGATTAATAAGATCATGCCAGATTGAATCATTAGATTCTAAAGCCTGATCAACATAGCAGCCAGTGAAACCCAATCGAATACGCATCAAAGGTGTGGCCTACATCTACTGACTGCTTGACCATAGACAAACAGTAGAGTAAAAGCATGCAATAATGATAATCTCCAAAATGTAAATAACATCTGATGAGCATTGGTGCTCAAAAACCAACAAAGTTATGATAAAAAAATGCACAGCTAAGCAATACCACACACATGATTAACCTCAATTCTTCTACATGACTACCATGACACAAATTTAAACATTCAGCATGACTACTATGGCACGAATTAAAATGTTCATTCTGCTTCAAGTCAAGATGCTAACGGTACAAATGCAAACCAGTAAGTACAAATGGACAGCATAAAAATCATAATTGTACATGACAAACATATATTTAAAACTTCAACGTCTTATCAAAGAATAGCAAATTTACTTGCTTTCCTGACAGCATTGCAGATATTGAGAGAATCTCATTGAAGCAGTTGAACTCTGGACTGACAACCAATATCTTTGCCATCTGAGGATCCAAGGGAAACTCACTCATAATTTCACCTAGCTTAGTCAGGTTGCCATCAACGTCAAGAGCACCTAGGTAATTCAATACCTCAAAGTACCCACATCAATGTTTCAGGAGCAGGAGGATCCATAAAGTCAAAATGGACAAGATCATCAATTCCAAGTTTCTTCAAATTAAGAACCATATTTGCTAAATTAGACAGAAGAATTTCTGGATATGTTTGATCTTGTAGATCATTTTTAAAACTTTTTTCTGTGGAGTCCAAAGCATTTTCCTGATTTTGTTCTACCAGCACGTCCTGCCCTTTGATGTGCACTTGCCTTTGATATTGGAGAGATGAGCAAAGATTCCACACGTATTCGTGGGTTATACACCTTTTGTTTTGAGAACCCTGGATCAATAACATAAACAATACCATCAATGGTCAATGATGTTTCTGCAATGTTTGTTGACACAACAATCTTTCAACCAGGTGGGCCACCTTCCTTCAGCGGTGCTGGAGCAGGTTCGAATATCTTCTGCTGCAACAGCGGGGACAAGGTGGAATATAAAGGCACCACTTTAAAGGGCCAACTTGATCACCCAAGTTATTGATCTCCTTTGTTATTTTCTTACATGCATCTTCTATCTCTTCCTCGCTGGTAAGGAAAACAAGTATGTCACCAGCAGGTTCACACACATATATTTGTACAACAGTCCGGATACCAGCTTCCAAGTAATCTCTTTCACGTTCTTGTGTGTAGAAAATTTCCGCTTCATGCAATCTACCAGGTACCCTCATCAAAGGTGCTCCACTGAAGTAATCCCGGAACTTTTCAGCCTCAAGTGTTGCACTCATTACCACTAACTTTAAATCAGGTCTATTTCTCAATACTTCTTTCAGCAGCCCAAACAAGACATCTGTTGCTAAGGTTTGCTCGTGAGCCTCATCTCTCTCCAAAAGTGGATCAGCCATTGCTTCTCTTAAAAGCATACCATCAGTTAAGTACCTGGCATCACAAAGTGAAAGCAGAAAAAATGAGTCCATAATTTAAATAACCAATGTATGGAAGCCAGGAGCATCGAAAGCATGATACAGAGGTGTTTACCTCTGACAACTCTGCAGTGCAAATAAATATTAGCCTGGTGTATAACAGTTCACAAATATACACCATCAGTATGTGCGCAACATGACCATGGATGTGTCAATACACCAAGAAATGACACTTGTATGACAATCTACAAATCCAGTCTATGACTGCCTTGGTTTGGCATAAACTTTAATCACTGAACAGGATCACTTATCCACAACCCAGAGACAAATAAACAATCAAAAGTTACCAAGGCTAAGCCAGCATTGTAGTTTAGTATTTTCAGTGTGACCAGAAGCATTCAAGGGCTTACTTCAATACAGTTTTATGACTACTGCAATCTTCAAATCGGATGCTATAACCAACTTCTTCTCCTATTGTTACATCCATCCCCTCAGCAACTCGACGGGAAACAGACATTGCAGCAACTCTTCGAGGTTGAGTGCAAGCAACCATTGGGTGTTTGCCCAAGTCATCGTATTCCAAAACAAACTGGGGAATCTGTTCAATGACATGTCACTTCTCTCGTTCAGATATGTTGGAAAAATAAAATAGACTTAAAAGGAACAATCATTCCATCTGAATCAAAATATAAAAAAGAAGTAACATGAGTAATATGAACAAATCTGAAGAAACAAGGAAACAATAGAAAGTGGCAACCAAAAGCAATATCTCTTATGGGAATCACCTGATGAGTGAATCTGTATTTAAAATTGAAGCATAACTATCTGAACAAGAATAACCACAAGATTTTCAAAAAAAAAAGTAGAAAATATAAACCGATAGGCCACAAGATGAACAGCTTGATCACAGACACCTAAAAAACAGTGGCCGCGACACAATGCTGAACAACCTAATGTCCTTGTCTAAAGCAGAATGGAGTGTAAAGCGGTTGCTGATACATCTGTTGGGGATGGAGGAGCAAGGAAAAAATAGAATACTACGATACAAGTAAAAAGAATCCTTTCGATTCCAGAAAACCGATATAATATTTAAAACAAGAGGATTGATATAAAACAATTACAAGATATTCCCAAGTGTATTCTCTTTTTTATCTTGCTTTATGAACTACGATCCTATTTATAGGACCTAGTGGTAACTACCCATATCACCCATGATTGAGGTAGTTATTAAAACTACCCGATCATGGTAACTACTTAGATGACTACTAGATCATGGTAACTACATAGATAACTACTATGAATCAATTCTCAACACTCCCCCTTGATTCATAGTTACATACACTGATTTACGACATGAAATAAACAGCTTTTGAACTGGAAGCGACTTGGTGAGGATATTTGCAACTTGCTCATCTGTTCCACAATATTTCATTGCTATGACTCCACTTGCTACAAGATCCCGGATAAAATGATAGCGTATCTCTATATGCTTCGTTCTTCCATGAAATGTTGGATTCTTCGTCATTGCAAGTGGAGCCAAACAGATGAGCAAGTTGTAGATATCCTCACTAAGTCGCTTCCGGTTCAAAAGCATGTTTATTTCATGTCGCAAATCGATGTATGTAACTATGAATCAAGGAGGAGTGTTGAGAATTGATTCATAGTAGTTATCTAGGTAGTTACCATGATCTAATAGTTATCTAGATAGTCACCATGATCGGATAGTTTCAATAACTACCTCAATCATGGGTGACATGGTGATATGGGCAGTTACCACTAGGTCCTATAAATAAGACCGTAGTTCATGAAGCAAGATAGAAGAGAGAATACACTTGGGAATATCTTGTAAGTGTTCTATGTCAATCCTCTTGTTTTAAATACTACATCGATTTTTTTGAATCGAAATGATTCTTTTTACTTGCATTGTAGTATTCTGTTTTTTCAAGTGACTTGTTCAACCTTGCTTCATGTGCTTACAAGGAACCCATTAGTTCATCAAATGAAAATGTAGATAAATCTTTTGACTCCTCAATTACGGCAACAACATCTCATTAGTTCATCAAATGAAAATGTAGATAAATCTTTTGACTCCTCAATTGCGGCAACAACATGATCAAATTTCGAAATTAAACTTCTCAAAACTTTTGCAACAATTATATGATCAAGAAGATGTTCACCACAAGATTTCATTTGACTAACAATTTCAATCACTCGAGAAAGAAAATCTTGCACCGATTCATTGCTTTTCATGAACAAAATTTCAAACTCACGACGGAGGGTTTGAAGTTTTACCGTAATCACCCTTGATGAACCTTGAAATTCATTTTGAAGTATCAACCAAGCTTGCTTTGAGGTTATCGTTGCTGCAATTCTTGAGAAGATTGTCTCATGTACAGCTTGTTAAATGAAGAAAAATGTCTTTGAGTTCTTTCTATTCTCCCTCAGCCTGATTTCGTTATCTGGATCCGCATATCCATTCTCTATTAAGTCCCAAAAATCTTGAGACTTGAATAGAGTTTTCATCTTGATACTTCAAAATTCATAGCATTTGCCCGAAAAGATGGGAATAAGGGGTTGAGACATAGAATTGCCATTGAAAACCATAATGCCCAGTTTAGATTGAAACTAGGCTCTGATACCACAAATGTTAGAGATGGAGGAGCAAGGAAAAAATAGAATACTACGATGCAAGTAAAAAGAATCCTTTCTATTCAAGAAAATTGATGTAGTATTTAAAATAAGAGGATTGACATAGAACACTTACAAGATATTCCCAAGTGTATTCTCTTTTCTATCTTGCTTCATGAACTACGACCCTATTTATAGGATCTAGTGGTAACTACCCATATCACAATCACCCATGATTGAGGTAGTTATTGAAACTACCCGATCATGGTAACTACCTAGATAACTATTAGATCATGGTAACTACCTAGATAACTATTATGAATCAATTCTAAACAACATCTCTGTCACACATCAGTATTTATAAGCATTGGTATTGCTTGGATCTCTGATGTGGTTGTAATCTATTCATTCTCAATATATCCAGATTACATAAAAATCATAACAGTGCCTGATGAGCAAAAAGAAGAAGGTTATTTGCATGATATATTCTGCTTTTAACATGTGTCATTTATTCACACGTCTGTTCTTAGTCAAGAAACTATATTATGCATGTAGACTTATCGGGTCACACGAAATAAGCATTCAAATGTGTATTTATAAGGATCCATATCTATATTTTCTTTGATAAAACTATGCAAGCTTTCAAGCGTCAACTACCAATTCCAAATTTAGGGCCAAAAATTAATAGGATACAATGCCAGGATATATAGCATCTTGACCAATACATGTGACAAGATTCTGGTCAAACCTGATAAACTTGTCCTCGTGAATAAGGAACTACTCTACATATGAGAAGGTTATAAAGCAAAATTAGCATGGACTTTTATTTAGGAGGTTGGAACGTTGTTGGATCTCAATAGCGTCTTGCTTTTTGACAGCCAAGATTAACAAGGATTTTGGGAATTTCCTAACCAAAAGATATTATTTCACAATTCAATATATTTCCCTATATTGGCACTTGATATCTGATTATGGTGGCTTAGAAAGAAGCTGGATAAGAAGAAAACATAGATGTCCCATTTATTCAATCACCGTCCCACTATCATGCAATAGTTGTTGTCCTTTGTTACTCATAAATGTGACCTCAAGGTGGTACTCTACTCTTCAATGATTGTAATGATACTACATGAAGAAAAATAAACATTACTTCCTATTATTTGTCAGGATACTTTTTCATTGACATGTAATTTAAACCAAAAGAATAAGAAATATCTTCTTTGTCAACCATTTCACGGCCGGTTCAAAAGCTTCATGAAGATAGAGCAGATTGTCACAGTACAGCACTTGGAAGCACGTACTTAACACAAACATGACGTCTACTTAAGAAGACCGAAGTAGTATGTTTACCCAGGAGTTCGTGGGCAACAAACCTGGGTTGTTTTACCACTGGCTGGCCTTCAACACCTTCAGAAACTCGTCTTTCTGGTGCCAGACCGGAAGGGTCTGCCTCTTCTCCAGTATCTCGTGGTACCTCCTTGACTAGGGCCGGCCGTTCCAACGGTTGATCCCCGGCGGGAACGACGCCGACTTGGCAGAGAAGGATCCGTTCGTCTTGGCCAACTTCGCCGCGACGGATGACTCGTCCACCACGTCGAAGAGGCTCACCTTCAACATTCCCAATTCCTATTCCGCCGAATACGATCAACAGATGATCGACCCCGCTACGAATTCGACCTCGAGATCGAGAGACGAGCAATCAATGAGTTCAGGTTTTCGGATCGAAACCCTAATGTTTGGGAGGGAAAAGGTCGAGCAGGACCCGATTGGTTAAGCCGTTTTATATAGTAGAGGCGGGCCCATTAGAAGCTCGAATGTACTAAAATATCCTTGTCTTCGTCCCGATTCACGATAAGACCTCCGTGCGCTATGCATATGGAAGCGATACTCTGTTTCCATCCTTCCACCGCGTACCCGCTGGGCTACCTCTGTCGTTATTGGAGGGTGAACTGTGGAGCCCAAGTGGGACCAGGAGGAACGGATCCGTACGAAATAAGTGGCGACTTCTGCACGTTTGTGCAACGTGGCTTTATATATAGTAAATTCATGAATTTTCTTTTTCAAATAATATATATATATATATATATATAATTATCGTGTTAGGCTGATGCAAACATAATAAATAGCATATATAGGAACCTGATGTGAAATAATAGGTTCATAATAAAAAAAGAAATTGGTGTCAACCTATATCTACTGTATACAAGCATTTTGATTACTTTAATAGTGAATGTTCTTATATATTTTATTTTTGGTTGTAAAATTCTAATCATCCAATGTGAGATAAGAAAGGTGTTTTCAGAAAAAAAAAATCTAAAAGAATGTTTTTTTAACTATAGGGAAAATCAAGGATTCACCGTTAAATTTAATCCGTCACTTGTCTTCCATACATTCATCAAATTTGTAATAATGCTCCAATTCAATCGAAATAAGATAAATGAATTTATAAAGTAAAATGGATCCACCATTGTTAGTAGTAGGTTTTTATCAGGGTTTAATTCTATATTATGTTAGTTATTAAGTAAATATTGTAATATCCCAATTTAATCATACATAAAAAATTCACTAACATATGGTGTATTCAATTATATACATTCACTTATTATTTATTCAGGCATCTCATATTTAAGTCCATGTATTAGCATCATATATTTTTTATTAAAAAATATTTTAATATATTAATTAAAATATATTAAATATATATTTTACGAAAAATTATAGGATACCTAAATATTTCAAGAGAAGGCGAACGAGGTGGAGTGAGACTAATAACAAAGGATGAGTAGATATCAATGTGGATTTAATTATTCCTATATTTGTATAAAAACAATGATAATTTCACAACACTATAATTTCATTCAAAAAATATTATAGTGACATATTCTCTTTTTTTTATTATCGTTAATCCACAACAATAACGATTACAAATATTATATTTAAATTTAAGATAAAATAAATATTAGAAATTTTCATCCTTTTATTTTGAAATATGTCAAAACCTTCATAATTTTCATATAAAACATTCAGATTCTTGTATAAATTAATTATTGGGATTTCAATTAATTAAAGTTCAGTTACGATTCAGCTATAAGAACACTATAAATCTATTTTTCTATTATCATTTTTCAATAAATTAAAATAAAAAATACTATGCTATATTTCATAAGCATCAATTCAATATGTTAAGCAAAAAAAAGTGAGGACTTATCATCATTAATATTAGATTTCAAAACATATAATAATATTTATTATCAAAGTTGATGGAATTTAAGTTAATTAGCATGTTAATATTTTTTTTAATAGTATCATAATGTTCTTAACTTAGAAACCTCCCAATCTTTTCAATCACATTTCCCTCAACTTAGGTAGGCCTTTTCTAAGCCAAGAATAAGAGGAGAAGGGTGAAAAAGGGGAAGAAGAGGGTATTTAGGTATATAATTTATAAATATTAAAAATTCTTAAAATGAGATTATAGATAGTAAAAAGGGGGGTTACAAATAAAAATCATCATAATAAAATATAAATTTACTATTTATAATCTATCAATCATTAATTATCCATTTATTCGCACAATATCTTATTTCGAGTTAATGTTATCTCCCATCGATTAGGAGAAAAAAAAATGAAAAGTTGATGATGACATTTATATCTATTTGTAGAGCGAGAATATAAAAAATTTAAAAAAATTATCAAAATTTTTATTTTTGTTATTTTAAAAGATAATTTTTTTTAGGGTTTTTAGAAATAGAGGGTGTTATATAAAAAAAAATCATTCGAAAAATTATATATTTAATTAAAAGAAAAAGTCTTCACTCTGATACGATCCTGTGCACATATTTCACAGGTAGGGGAACGAGGCGGAGGGAGATCGGTAACAAAGGTCTCCGTGGAAGTACATTACACCGTATTATAGATGTATCGTAGGAACCAATCGATCGTCACCGTCGTCGTCACCATCGTGACATTGGCACCTAAGGCGGCCGCTTCATCAAAAGGGGCGACGAGGATAGGCGACCCACCGGTCATCTCCCCTCTTTCCCTCTGTTACTCGCCTTAACCCTAGCCCTAGCCTCGGATTCTCCCCCACGTGTCCCCAGTTCTCCATCTTGAGCTACTTCGGCGGCCCTAAAGATCCCAATATTATATCTCTATCGTCCTTCGATGTTCGTCTGGGGTTTCCGTTCCGCTTCTGGGTGAGATTATCTCGTCCCTGAATCAATTTGCTTCGTCTCGGTGTTTGGAATCCCTTGTCGTTTGATGTTTAGATCAAGATTGGTTTTGTTGGCGGATTCTTGATTCGATTTTTCTTGGGTTCTTGCTTTCCCTTGTGGTTGTTTTTCTTGATTCCAGGTTGGTCTTTTTTCCGCCGTGTTCTTGGTCTTGAATTTTTATTTGCTCGATTGACGATCGATGCATCTTGATTCTCGCATCGCCGGTGGTTGTTTTGATGGTTTTTTTTTGGATTTAATGCTGATCTTGGAAGTCGTTGCTTGCTATGTTTCGTTTTGGGTTTGATCTTTTCCTGTAGATGCGTATGATTTGTTTGCGTAATGCTGTTGAGTTCTAATCTTTGCTGCACTTCTGTTTGTCAGGGTTGATTTCTTTCATTCTTGTGGTCAAATTCTTGGTCGTTTCATGCTATCTTTCATGTTGATTATTCTTGTAGCATCCGCTTATCATTCAACTGTTTTTAATATCTATATACTGATTCTTTGCTTTCTTTTATTGCCAAAATTCTTCCTTTTTATTTTTTTTCTTTTGTTCAATTGTTATTCATTTATTTGGGAATATAATTATCAGGTAGGAAGGCGAACGGGTTGAGTAGTTTGATCTGTTGAATCTGATGGAGGGCTTGGGGGGACTGGGATTCAGTGGTACAAACGCAGTGATGAAGAAGCCGAGGAGTGCCACCCTGAGACGACCTCGGCCCGAGGCACAGCTGGTTTCAGAATCTTGTGACATCTCACCCCTATCTTCTACTCCATCCTTGAATAATTCAAGGAAGTTCTCTCCTGATGATGATGGAGGTAGTGAATCCAGCGTCCGAAGGAAAGAATTTTATCTTAACAACCCTCCTCCAAAGAGTTCATCTATTAATATAGCTTCTTCGAAGAAAACCAAGAAAGTCGATAAGGTATTTGGAGAAGTTGATGGGGGATATCATGGAGTTAGCAGTTCGCGAGGCGGACATAGGTCTGACATGAAACGTTGCAGTGAAGGTGTTCTTGCCCCAGCTAAGTGGAAAAATACGGACAGGGTCAAAGAAGACAATGAGAAACACTCAATATCCCCAGATGCAAACGTTCGAAAGAGTGATGGGAGTTATAATGTGGATCAGTCAGAAGGGATCTCTAATGTTATTGCTGAAAACAAGCCTAGGAAGGTGAAACTCAAGGTTGGTGGAGTCACACGCACAATACTGGAGACAGGTGATGATGGATCTTCTGCAAAACCTCCACGTTCCTTGGATTCCTCTCGGCATCGTCTAAAGCTCATTGCCCGGGTAATATGCTGCTAAGGATTCCCAATTTCAGTATATTGTTTAATGAATAATTAAGCTGAAAATAAAAACTTAGCTATAACTTGGATTTATCTGCTTAGCATCTTCTTTCTGCAGCTCTTTACCGGAATTATTGATCATTAAGTTCATAAATTTTCCTACTACGGAACGGTACCATGATTGACAAAGTTGATCCAAACATGTTAGAGATTACCATCAAATAAATTAGTAAAATCTGCAGCGCTGTACATTCCTAAGATGTCTTAATATTTCATGTTAAGCTCTATCTTTGCCATGCTGCCATCATGCTCGTACTCATTCGAAGAACTGTATCTATAAGGGAACATCGTATTTACTTTTCTCCTTAGTTGCAGGATTACTCTGATGGTCACTCCCTGCCCGAAAGGGGGAATGGCTCACAAGGAGATCAGGGGAAGCAATTGAGTGGATCGAGCTTTATTCATGGGATGGAGGAGGCTTCTACGGCAACAGTTGCTGAAGCAAGCTTAGTTGGAAAGCAAACAGACAAACTGCATATGCTACCCTCTTCTGCGCCTACTCGTAAGAGTAAGAGGGTCCCAAAGAGGCGTATGTTTGATGATGATGAGGAGGATGAAGAGATTCGTTACCTTGAGAAACTTAAATCTTCTAAGGTTTCTGCAGATGATTCAGCAGGAAATGATGGTAGCAGCGAGAATATCATTCAGAAAAAGAAATTACTCAAGATTCCTAGAAATAGAAATACTGCTTTTGAGGTGGATGAGGACTATACATCTTCTCGATCAAGTAAAGATAATAGAAGGAAGTTGAGGCCAGGAAGGGAATCTGATGATACAGACTATGTCGAAGAGGAAGAACCTGGTTCCGATGGTGAGACAGAGATCAAGAGAAGGAAACAGAAGGAAACTAGTGGGTCACCAGCTGACGTTAGAACCGAACCTCTTACTACACGACAGCGGGCACTTCAATCAGGAAAAGCTGGCAATGGTGAAAGTTTTGTCGAGTTCCCAAATGGGTTGCCACCTGCACCTTCTAGAAGTAAAGCCTGATATCATTGTCAATATTGTGACAGAACATCCTGCAAGAGGATTTTTTTTTTCAAGTTCTTTCTTTTGACGTTGCATTATGACTGCAGAACAAAAGGAGAAGCTATCTGAAGTGGAGATACAAGCAAAAAAAGCAGAAGCTGCTCAAAGACGGAAAATGCAAGTAGAGAAGCAAGCCAGAGAATCTGAGGTGTGTCTTTATTTCTTTCTGGATCTAAGTTGGCATTACTCCTGTCGATGAATTGCCTGATTAAATTTGAACTTCACAGGCTGAGGCTATAAGGAAAATATTAGGCCAAGATTCTGACAAGAAAAAGGAAGAAAAGAAGCAGAAAGAACTTGAAGAAAAGGTCTATATCCCAAATCTCAGTTATGCTCTGAATTTATTCTAGTTGACTTATTTTTATTTTCAATCTCTGGATTATATTGGTTTACACAGGCAAGGTTTGCTAAGTCACAAGCATTAGGTCCAAGCACCATTAGATGTGTCATTGGACCTGGTGGCACAGTCGTAACATTTGCTGATGATGTAGGCCTTCCAAGTATATTCAACTCCAGGCCTTGCAGGTAAGATGGATATTTCTAACTTAAACTAGGAGGAAATGAATTTACAGCATGAGCCATCTGAATTGGTAATATTTTTACTGTATCATATACTCGGGGATATTCTTTTTTTTTTTCACTCTGTTGCTTTTATATGTGGACTCTTGCATTCTGTTGATGCAACAACCTTTTGCCTGTCTGTTTCTTACTGATGATTGCTCTGGATCCAGTTACCCTCCTCCACGAGAGAAATGTGCTGCCCCGTCATGTTCAAATGCATACAAGTATCGGGATTCCAAGACTAAGCTTCCCTTGTGTAGTCTACAGTGCTATAGAGAAGTCAAAGGAAGTGCTGAGTCAACGATAACTTGTTAATATTTCTATACTTGAATATATGTGATTCTACAGGAGCAAGGTTATTCTCAAGATGTATCTACCTGATATGGTGAAGAGGACAGTTTTGGCCAGCAAATCAATTTGTTATGCTAAATAGTCTTGTTTCTGCACTGGCGAGCGGATAAGTTGAAAATACACACAAATCCAATTTTTTTTGCCCGTGCAAGTTATTAAGATCATTCTTTTCAGTAATCTACGTGGTAATTCTTAGAGTGTGGCTATTCCTGTTTGCTTATATCTTTTGGTTCGCAATTTTGCTGCTTTGTCGGTGATTTTCATTTGGCTTATTAAGATATTGAGTAGACTGCCATGTTGAAGTCTTGGTAGTTTGCTCTGCTCAAATTTGGTGCTTCAAGTGTATATTATATATATTGCTGCTGTTGGAGTCTTAAGTACAAGTGGTATGACAGCTTCCATTTGATACTAATTAACTAGTTAGTTTTTCCGGTAAGTAATTTCCAACAGAAAGTAACCTCAGATCGAATGGTGAAGGATTTATATATCTGTTTGATAATTGCAGCATTAGGTATGTTATAGTCTAGATTGGCTAAATTGGAGCATAGATGCTGTTCGTTTTGTGTATTACACTTGGATCAATCTAGATTGGAATAACTACACTATTACATTTATGCAATCGATGTTGTATTACTTTCTGCAAATTAATGCAGAATACGGTAAAGGCATTACATTTAGGACATGCAAATTAATACTAAATGTTGTATTACATTTAGGACATGCATTACTGCAGCCTTTTACTGGCACGCTGCTGCCGATGAAACTGAAGGCTCTACAGTAAAAGACCAAATTTTGTTTTCTTTTATAGTTTCGGATCCAAAATACGTGTATAAATGAAAGAAACGCAAAATTGAAGTGTACTGTTGCTTCCGCGCGCAGTACTCTCCGCGATAGTCCGCAATCGCGACTCGCCTCTGAATCAACGGAAACCAACCCTGCGGTGGTCCGGTCTCCGCTCCACTTCGAATCCTCCGCCCTCACCCGTCGGATTTCTCCGGGCCCTCTTCCCTCTCCACATATAACTGTAGATCTCCCGGCCATGTCTCTCGCCTCCTCCTCCGCCGGCTCCAGTTTCTAAGCATCCTTTTGCTCCAGCGATGCCGGCTTCTCTCTCGCTCTCCCTTCCCTTCCCAACTGCCGCCCCTCCGGCATCCGATCCGTCGGCCGCCGCTGCCCCCTTCGGTGCATTCTGCAGTTACGGCCTACGGTTCTGCGGCCTCCGCAGGGAGGACTTGTCACTCCGCTCGCTGAATTGGGCGGCCTCGGGGCGGATCACCCCGGATTCCTCCCGGAGGTTCTCGAGGAAGATCTTGGCCGTGGTGAAGGATAACGGGAGCCCCGCCAAAGTCTTTGATTATGATCTCGTCATCATCGGAGCTGGCGTCGGAAGCCATGGCGCTGCGCTCCATGCAGTCCAGAAGGTAATGTTGTATGTTTCTTGATGGGTTTTACCTGCTTGTTTTGTTGTATCTGAGGTACTCGAACTCGTGCGCTTGGTTGCTGGACAACCAATATTTCTTGGCGTTGGATTTCTTATATAGCCGTTCGAATTCACACGTGACAGCTTTTCTTTTAATCCTTTTATTTATACGCTGATTCTATATTATGTTGCCAATAATAGTTTATACGATGCTTTTCACACTTCATTGTTGGTGTCTTCACGCCGTTTCCTTTGGTCCAATCCCGATCGTATGGGGGCGTCCTCGTGGGTGTCCGAGACGGGGATGGAAGGGCGAGGTCGGGTCGGAGCTGGTGTTTCTGGGACTGACCCGAGGTAGGACTTGGATTCCTGCTTCAGCATCGCCTTCCTAGACAGGAGGTCAATGTCGGGAGGCGGATTCTCGACTCGACCCTTTCGAAGCTTAAGTTAGTTTGAGGATGGATCTGAGGGTATTTTTTCATGTTCGAGGTCCTATCTCCCGGCACATACCAGGGGATCGATATTTATGCATGTTGTAGGGAGTCGGTTGTACTCGGGTCGTTAATGACCGTTGATGCTTTGGGCGGCCAGTACGTATTCTCCGGGCGGCACGGATTGACCTGTACTGTTCTACGTCGTGCGGTGCCGTCTTGTACGACCTCAGGCGACGCGGGAACCGTTGAACGTCTTCGCGGGGATGCTGCGTCCCTTCAAGTCTGTATCCGCGCCCGCGCCTCCTCGGCACCGAGGTGCGACTGTCGACTCCGAGGCACCACGTCGGCTTTGAGATGCCACATCGACTCTGAGATGGTTGTTGATCGTTGCCGGAATATTCCCTATCATTCATTCTTATTTTGAGTATCCATGCTTCTATTATCCAAGCGATAGCAGTCTTTTGGTCTAAAATTAGTTGTTTTTTCTTTTTGTGTGACTCGGGTTCACTTTTTACCTACCGGTGCTGTTCCATGATGGAACCACTATTTTGTTGCTTTTCATGTTACTTGAAATACACATGATCTGCGATAGTCGTGAGACACCAACATATTTGAATACTGGAGTTTCAATTGTTTTTGCATCCCGAGCCACTTAAACACAAATGCAAAGGTTGTATGATCACCATGCACTACCAATCTCAATATACATCTATCAGTTACCATCATTAGTCTATAATAAGGTTCATCTTCCTCTTTTTTTTTTGGTTGTTGAGTGCTGCTTGTTATTTTCTCGGCCAAATTTGATCTCATCTATTTACAAGAAAAGATGAATGACTAATTTGAGAGAAAGCAGTCCTTGAAATCGGTTGACTGAGCTGTTGAGCTACTTTCTTGTATTATAAAGGAAACGATTGTGCAACTTTTGGCATTCGCACTGCTCTGCTTGGACACCAAAAGTTGAAAATATTAGACAATTAAACTTGAGAGAAAATTTAATGTTTCTAGACTTACAAGTGTTAGGAAAAGGTAATATGTCATTCAGTAACATCCAGTCTGGGTTCAAGCATTTGATCTTTTTCTGTTTTTAGTTTACAGAAATTTTCTATATTAATTTATGTGTTACTTATTCTTATTATCCTGAGCTTAAGGTATATTCATTATCCTGGTCCTTATGGTATATTGTAAGCACTGGATTCAGACAGACACCCAGGCTATTTGAAGCTTGGAGCGGGTGACAACTGAAGCAGACACAATGATGGGTCAATATTATACTTATATCTGCATATATGTGTTTTCCAATCCTAAAATAAAATTTATAATGTAGAACTCCAGACGAGCATGTACTGTTTGAAAAAAAAATTGTGTTAAATTCACATATAATGATTTATGTGTCAGAGTGATCTCAGATCCTCAGGTGGAAGCATGAAAAATCATACATGCGAACACTACATGACATCACATAAATTTGTTTGCATACCAGATATTAAGGAAACATTGTTTATTGTGGTGAAAAATCCCAGCAGATAGCAAAGGGATTGTGGAGAAACTTATGAGCAGCCATATTTTGGACAACTCTCTTACACTACCTGATGTATGTTATTATGCTGCAAACATGAGAAGATTTTGGTATCTGTCTGTGACTGAATATCATTTCTCTTGGTTAGTAATTTGATGTGCTCTGTTAGCGTTTAGATTTTCTTTTTGCTCTTTAAGTGCTCTCCATATGCTTTGGCTTGTTATTCATCAGAATGAGTCCTAAACTATGGTACCTGATTTGCAGGGTTTAAAAACTACCATTATTGAAGGGGACATTGTTGGTGGTACTTGTGTAAATAGAGGATGTGTTCCATCTAAAGCTCTTCTTGCTGTTAGTGGTTGCATGCGTGAACTTCATGATGAGCATCACCTGAAGGCTCTGGGTCTACAGGTTTCAAGCTTCATTTCTTCTTTTTCTTACCATATGTCTAGAATCCAAAGACAATTTGTATACTGTTTTATTAGTGTCTAACCTGGCATTGAATAACTATGTGAATAGCTGGGAACATCAAAGAGAGACACTATTTACCATCTTACTTTACATTTGCTGTTTGTTTTTGACAAAATACTTAATTTGATCAGATGACATCTCATTCATGATCACTGTGTTGGCTGAAGAATCTTCTTAGTTAGTAAGAAACAGGTGGTATGTACTGGTTTGCTAGTTGATCGGTATGCATACCAGCTCGTTTCGATGCGTACTCTGAAATATGGCCATGTATTGGTCAATACGGGGTATGTATTGGCCGATATGGTCAAAACTTGTCTTGTATCGATCGATATGGGTCGGTACCAATCTTAATTTCATCGATACCAACCCGAATCCAGTCTAGTTTGACCAAATTGACCATTGGGGCCTCTTTTGGGGCTTTAAATTGGCTCCCTCCCCCCTCTTTCAGTCATTCTCTCATTCTCACTCTTTCTCACACTTTTGTGATTAAAGTTCCTTATCGGGCGATTCAAGATCAACGAGAAGCAACTTCCTCCTGTGTGACAGTTTTTCCTTGATGGATTCAAAAAGATCATTTCAATATTTCCTCTTATAATCTATTCATTTATGGCTTAGATACACTTTATTCTTGTGTAAATACAACTTATATACCAATAAATTAGGAAAAAAATTCTAAGAAAATGAAATTTTCTTTGTTTTGGTCATTTTTCGGCCTTTTTTCGAAAAACCAATACATACTGGCATACCAACTCGTGGTGTGCCGATGCCAACTGGTACACCAGCCCTCCTATGGATGGTATCACATGGGACAACGGTCCTTATTCTTGGTAATTAAGTGTACACAGGCTTTCCTGCATGTAAAGTGTAAACTGATATATTCAACATAATGGTTTTGCAGTTTCCCATGATGAAGATCTGAAGTCAAATAAGCATTTATCATACATTTAAACATAGCTTTTGTTTGTCTCACTGGAGAATATTAAAGCCACAGATTATTATTTGATTTTTTTTGTTACATCAAGGTCATTTATTTCATGAGCATTTAAATATTTATCTTAATTATATTTTTCTGACCATGCCACCTTTAGTATATTTCTGTGAAAATCTACTGCACTGAGACTTTCTGTAATCTGTTTATCAAATTATCCTAATTTATGTCATGTTTTAATGCTTCATTGCACTGAAATGATAGGTCACATCTCCTGGTTATAATAGACAAAGCGTTGCTGATCATGCAAATAATCTTGCTTCCAAAATTCAGATTAATTTGACTAATTCATTGAAAGCTCTAGGTGTTGATAAACTCACAGGTGTAGGCACTATTGTGGTAAGTTGCATGTGCTTGATATTAATTTTTCTGTAGTACATAATTATTATTATGCAACATCATTTAATAGCTGAGTTACCTGAGTTTCTAGTTTGTAGTAGATTATATTATGGTCATTATATCAAGATACATATTAGTTTTGCATGATTTTTCTTTATCGATTATAAGTTATTCTGTGACAATCTATCTGGGAATTATTTTAACAGGCCAAAAATATTTAATAATTTTTTTATACTGATTCCTCTAACTGTATAACGTGTGATCTTGTTGAAATATAGCTTAAAATCTATATCATGGAAGGTTGCGTTGAAAACCCACCATTCTAATGTGAAAAGATAGAAGAACTATGCTTATTAAATATGTTGTGTTAATGCTTTCTGTACCAGTCTTACAACTCCATGCTTCTTTGGGTTAATTAAATTTGAAATTGATTCACAATTGACTTGTTATTTTCCTAACCCTTTGTAGATCAAACAGCCGTAGCATCACAATGATAAGAATTATCTGAGAAGTTCAAAGAGAAGAATGTTATTAGATTTTATTGAAAATAGCACATGTATATTAAATGAAACATAGGAGTGCAGTGTCTTTGAAAGTAGAAGTACCAACTTATTTTACTAATTAGGATTTTACGCTCTCGAACCCTGGTTATAATACTATATTTTTTTTTGTGCTTAATTGAATGCATCAAGTATACTTTATGAAGCATGAATTCTTCAAAATGCTTGTCATGTCTATTGTGCTCATATCAGACTCTTAACAGTAGCCTCTTATTTCTTGACACACATCAGGTACTTGAAAAAAATATTAGGATCTGTATAACTGACATAAATATTAACTTACGATGCATGTATATATGTTATAAACACACATATACATTTGATTTTTATTTTCTGTATACATTTATGATACATGTATGTTTTTTTTCTATCTTTGAATTGCTGTATTGATGTGTATGTATTGTGTTGTGTGCATGTCCATGCTTTATAAACTATACTACAAACTAGTATTATATGATCACTGCAATCAAATTACCTATTTATTGTTCTCAGATATCAGATCATTGATCTGGGTGTGTGTTTGTGCGAGTATTGTGTTTGGTTCATTGATATTCTACTGAGTTTTTGTAAGCACCTTAACTCTATGTTTAAGTGCTAGAGGATTGTGATTAAGCTGTTACTGTTACCTTAATGAGATGAAGAAACTTGCATGGGCTAATCCAAGCTCTAAAACCTTCCTATGTGCAGATTATTCCATTTCAATCTTTAGATGCCACTCCCTTTTATAGATTAAAGATGTCCATTCATATTAAAATTTTGTTTTTGTGCTGTATATTTGTAATGCCAATGACTATAACAAAAGGAAAACTAAATCATGGATTTTATGAAGTGTCACTTGAATAGTATAATCCAGATTATTCTAAATAACTGTTTTAGTTGGGAGAAATACCATAACTTTCCATTATTGATGGCTAATATCAGGTTGATAGCTCTTTGCTATATTGTTCTTACTTCTTACAAAAGACACTAGGAATACTGTTTCTTGAATATGTTTTATATTGACTAGCAATGGAGTTGTGTTTCCCTTCAACACTAATCTATATTTATTTCTTCCTCTGCTTATGCATGAGGTATTTGGTTTTGAAATGATTTGTCATTCTTTGCTGATGTCAGAGAGTCATGAACTATGGTCTTACCATGACACACTGATGTTTTCAGGGTACACAAAAGGTGAAATATGGAAAGGTCGGGTTTCCTGGTACAGAAATTACAGCTAGGAATACAATAATAGCTAGTGGATCTGTTCCCTTTGTACCTAATGGCATTGAAGTGGATGGTTAACTTTATTTTCTCTGACTCATTTAGTTGGAAATTAGTCAACTATGCATGTACATAAGTGCATGATACTGTTGCTGATGTTGGAAAATTTTCATGTGAAAATGATGGAATTCTGCTTTGGTGTTTGTATTTCCTTCTTGTATTTGGTTGCAGAGATGAGGAAATATTAATATATAATAACCAAAAGAACTATTATGTATGTTTTGTTCATAATTTTTGTTCTGCTTTTTTGGTACGTTTTTCTGATTTTTTTTTTCAGATGTTCTACTATATAAATTTCCAACTCAAATTCATGATTAGACATTCTTCAACAATCAACATGGACTTGGAGTGCATTTTAGATGGACATTACTGTTTCCAAGATATTGTAGAAAATATCATGATTTATGTATAATAGGCTTTTATTCATGTGAAATACAGCCTATGGGTTTCAAAATTGTCGGCATATTATACCAATATCCAAATGTTTCGATATGGGATGTGTTTACTTTTTTGTTTTGATGCAGTTGTTACTTTTTTGTCCTTGTGTACTTATACCACAATTATGGATAACTTGTAAGATTTCAGTGTATCTTTATATGTACTAGCTTTAATTTTTTTTTACCCAAGTACCATGAAAAAAGAAAAAAGGTTGATCATACATCTCCGTTTCTTTCTGCAACCAGGAACAACATTATGGTTCTCAATTTCTACTGTTCCTTGATATTGACTTTTAATTTACTGATAATGGTTTCTTTTTTATTTGTTTTAATCCTTTGTATCTTGGCAGATATGCTTTCTATTTTCTATGAATTTGATTTATCTACTATAGGTTAATCCAAGTATTCTTTTGTCATTCTTATTTGATTAATTTAGTTACTTTTAATTTATCGGGTGGTACATGTAGGGAAAACTGTATTCACTAGTGATCATGCACTCAAGCTGGAGCGGGTGCCAGATTGGATAGCTATTGTAGGAAGTGGTTATATTGGACTTGAATTTAGTGATGTGTACACTGCCCTTGGTAGTGAGGTATGACGTTATTCTCAGCCACTGCTTTCATATGTTTTCTTACAGGCAATGCCTATTCCATGGATGATTCTTTACCTCAGATTTAGCTTCCGTTTCTCTTGTAACTCATTAGAAGCTTGCAGACATATAATCTTTGAATGCCCAGTATAACGACTTTTGTTCATCAACATGAGTCCTCTTTAAACATATGTTTTGATGTTTGATATTAGTCCTTACGGAAAATGTCATGGTTTAGTTACATGGTGTCCTAACATTCAGCATACAAGTCTTTACATTCCTTAATGTTGTCTATGATGTTGGTAGCCCCATTTTTTCATGGTTTTGGTTAGAAGCAATGTGGATTCCTTTTTATTAACTATATTGTTGGATTATGCTTTGCGATCATGGTATTTATTAACTATATTGTTGGAATTTTCTATCATTGTTAGTGGCTAGCTGTTAGTGATAACCTTCTTTGATACTACCAACATTGACCAACCATTGCTACTAGCTTACTATTAACTCCAAGATCGAATATTGTTCTAACATGATAAAGTTTCTTCACGTAGCCGGACTTATGCTAGAAAGGAGCATCAAGAGACAGAAGGTGAAATAAGATCATGAACAAGAACTTAATGAATACCATTGAAAATTAAGTCATAATAAATTGAGAAAAATAATAAAATGGTTATGTTGCATCAAATTTGTAATTATCCAATTATCCAACCATTGCTACTAGCTTACTATTAACTCCAAGATCGAATAATGTTCTAACATGATAAAGTTTCTTCACATAGCCGGACTTATGCTAGAAAGGAGCATCAAGAGACCGAAGGTGAAATAAGATCATGAACAAGAACTTAATGAACCATTGAAAATTAAGTCATAATAATTTGAGATAAATAATAAAATGGTTATGTTGCATCAAATTTGTAATTATCCAATTATTGATACAAATTAGATTTACAGCCAATCCATAATTGAGTACTGGTTAATCATCCAACACTATACAATGTTTCTTTTTTTCTTTTATCTCATGAACTTGATTTCTACTGTTTGCTTGAAAGACTTCTTCTAAATTTTTTCATCAGGTGACTTTTGTTGAAAGTCTGGATCAACTAGTGGTACTTGTGGCCATTCCGACAAAACAACAATTAAGAATTCTTACTAGCACAGCTCCATTTTTTTATAGATTAGTATGTATTACCAGCATCTTCATTTTACAAGCTCATTATTGGTTGCAAGATCAACATCCACATTTATTTACCAAAACCAGTAGAAATATATGTCTATAGATTTTTCTCCTCACTGTGCATCCACATTACAAGATACGTCTGATGGTATTACTTTTTAGATTTTTCTAAATTCAGCTGTTCACTTGGATAGACTCCTATGATGGATGAGAATTAGCTCAATAATGTTGGCTTGAAATTTGTCAATATTTGCTTCGTGACTGGCAATTTTTCATTTGACCTCTGTAAGGGGTTGAATGTGAAAATATAATGAATTTTCACTCAAATAAGACTAAGTCATGAAAAAAAATTTAGTTGTTGTTGTGGTTTCTAGTCATACATTAGTTTATTTCTGCAAAAAACAAGGTTATACACTAATTTCTCTCTGTTAGAATTATTGGTGTTTTTTTTCTGTGACACGTGAGGTTTGGATGTCCCACTCCTGAGTTTTCTTTTGCAGCCTCAAGCAAGGGAGAAAGGTGAGAAGGATATGTTTGAAGTACGTGTTGCTAAGACTAGTTTCAAGGCTAACACAAAAGCTCTGGCAGAGAATGAAGGCGAGGGGCTCGCTAAGGTTATATTTTGGACCATTATCTTATTATGAAATTAAAAACACATTATGCCATGACTGGAAGCTTGTGTAACTCTCATTATGATAGTTATCAATTCCATGAGAATATTATCCCTTCTTTAACTATATTGAAGTTCTGTTACTTGAATTCCAAGAAAATAGTTGCCACAGGTTTCGTTAAATATGGCGTTTCATCCTACTTCTAAAATCGGTTATATTATTCTAGTGCACATATACAAAACTAAGGCATGTATATGAGATATATTAATTTGAAAATTTTGTAATAGTAGTAGGATATGTTTTGTCATGGTCACAAGAAAAGTTTTTTCATTATGCCATATAGATCTTGGGCACTAAAATATTTTGACTATGTTGACATTGAATCATGATAAGTAATTAGAGGTTACATAAGTATCTTGATCATCAAGTAGCTATTCTACTTATACATGAGGAGGAAAAAGATCTAGTAAATAGAAATACATTGAAATTTAACATTTAATCCATTTCTTAAATGGTATTTTTGAACATCATAAAAAGTTTAATGTTCATGAAAATCCACCCTATATCAAATTATCAATAACTATACTTTTAATCATCTCATTTATGTCATTCCTTAGACTTATCATATACTTGTATTACATCCAACAGCAAACCCAGCACACAACCATTTTCTTAAAAATATTTCTTTAAAATACTGGTATACTTTTCCAATGAGATCCTTTCATGGATTGATGGACCATGCATACCAATCCTTGGCTAGACCGATCAGTACCAGTGTACCGATACATGGCACAGTATGTACTGAAAACTCAAGAGGAAGCAGAAGGAGAAGGAACAAATGGTGGAGGAAGAAGATGAGTGGTGGAAGAAGAGGAGGAAGGAGGAAGAGAAAAGAAGAAGAGGTGGCAGTGGAGGAAGAAGAAGGATAAAAGATTTGGATACTAGATCTTTTATTCAAGCAGTATTTGCTACCATTACTTTGGGACCTTTCTTTTTAGGGGGCTTTGGTGTATTTTCATAGTACTGCTCTCTCTCTCTCTCTCTCTCTCTCTCTCTCTCTCTATCTATCTATCTATCTAAGGGAGTAGATATATATATATATA